TGGGACCGGGGTGGGAGTCCCGGCAGGAGAACTTGTGGTCAGGACCCACGGGTGACTTTCCCCCTTGCAGCGATAAGGATGGCTGGGTGGGGAGAGGGTCCCAGCTGTCCCTGGCTGCCTACATGCTCTTGCAGACCCCATCCGAGGTCACGGACGGGCATTTATTTCCCCTTTCCCAGTGTGTGCCCAATTTCAGGGCTGTGCCCGGCCTGCGGAGCCCGACAGCTCCGCAGGAGGGGTCTGTCACAGACGGAAAGAGCCTGTCGGGGTGGTGAGTGGCTGGGACGTTGCCGTCCCTTGTCAAACCCGGCGGAGGAGCGCGTGGCTGCGCCGGCCGGGCCGGGATGCCGGCGGCTTGGGAGCACGTGGTGGGTTCCCAGGCTTTGCTCCCCTCTTCCTGCGGCCGCGGGCTTGCTCCTCACCCCCGTTCCCGGCACTGCCGGCTCGGCCTCCGCTCGTCCCGTGCTGGCTCCTGTGTTGACACGGGCTGTTTTTTTCCGGAGCTGGAGTGGGACGCTTCGAAAACGCTGCCACGAACTTCTAAAAAGTTACCTAAAAAGAGCTGGAGGCTTCATCGGCAAAGACGTTGCCAGCCCCGACCGTCCCATGCCGCATCCTAGCCCCGCTCGCAGGCAGGGCCTGCCGATATCTTCTCCTCCCGTTGCTGGTTGCAAAAGGGTTTTCACCAAAAACATAATGGAAGTGTGGAAGGGCGCGGGCTGTTGCCCAGTTTCAGCGTGTGTTACTCAAAAACGAGTGAGGAGTTTGGACATTACAAAAAAAATACAATGGGCTGATTTCTGCTCTCTGGCTCCGGGGCAATTCCTCTCGGATCCCTGGGGTTGTATCGGTGGCCAGGGAGCAGAGTTTGGCTCTCGCTAAGTGCTTTATGGGATTTTTATTTTTCATTTAGCCAAAAAATAAGAAGGGGGGAAAAAAATTCAAAGAAGTATTTGGTGTGGAAAAACAAAAGACATTCAAAACCTCCTCAGCTGGCCAGAAAGGATCCCTTTGAGGGGACAGATGTGTTAAGGGGAACGAGAAACGTCCGGCTGCGGGAGCAGGGCTGAGCCAGGCACCTCGGACGCGGCAGTGGTTTCGGGAAGGGAGCACTGGGGGGTGATGCTCAGCACTGCCCCGGCTCCCGTGGTTTGGTGTGCGCTTCCATGGGGTGTTGAGGGCGCAGGAGTTGGGCGCCTTGGCCGTCGACGGGGTCTGCCCCGCCTGTCACCCTTTGCGAGTCATCCTCGAGCTGCCCAGCGAGGCGGACGCGGAGGTTTTGTGGTCTGTCGCCCGTCCGACGGCAGCCCTGCCTGCCTGCGCCCGGGTGTCTCGCCGCTTGGGGTGCGAGCGTGCTGGTGGCCGCCGTTCGGCATGGGGGGTCCTGCTCAGCCTTCGCCCCGGCGCTGGCCCACCCTCCCCTCTCCTTCTGGGATGTGTGCCCGGCCCACGGGGTGAAGCCATGGCACGGTTGCACTTCAGCACTAGCCCAGGTTGGATAAACGTGTCAGCTGCGTGGGTTTCCCCTGGGTTTTCACCCCGTTGTAAAGCGCGGAGATCTTGTCATCTTCAGCTTTCAGTTCGCCGGTCTTTCCTGAGTCTGTTTTTTTTTAATTTTTATTTTTTTTAATCCGAGCAACTTGAGGATCGCTCAGAGGAGCAGAGGTGCCAGGAGGCAGCACAGGAAGGAAGGGGACTGTCATGTTCGTCCCCGGAGACTCGGGGGCTGTAGCAGTGCCCACGCGACTGAGAGTGGAGCCGTGATTTGGGAAGAGGCCGCAGGGACCCCTCTCTGTGCCTGCTCCGGAGACCAGCAGTCCCCGGGACGGAGCCACTGGCAGTCAGGCTGCGGCTCCTACCCAAGTCTCCCACCGAAAGAGCCCAAATTAGCTGAATAAATGATCCCTGTGTTCAGCACCAAATGCCAGAGAACCTGTTGCCAAGGCTGGAATTTCTCACTTGATCCGATTAACCTTTGTGTCCGTGCAAATAACCCCACATGTGTCACCAGCCGAACGCGTGCCAGAAGCTTTTGCCAGGTCTTCCCGCAACATCTGGCCTGCACGCGATGCACAGGGCCCATTCCCGTGTGGAAGGTCCCCGGGGGCACCTGGGAAAGGACTGTTGGACCCTCATGTCCCACGTGTTGGTGGCATGGCCGGCGATCCGGGCGCGCGGGAGATGTTCCCCCTCCCTCTGCGCACGAGGACAGGCGGGATGAGTCTGGATGCTCAGGGCATTAACTCCGTTGAGTTAAACGATGCCAGCGTGATCTCGTGGGAGGAACTGGGGGTGACGAGTCAAATCTGTGTTTTAAAAAACCCGTGTGCGTGGGAGAGAAGTGTTGAGCAAAGGTGAAGAAGGCACCAGTTGGCACTTCCCTTAGTCACGCTGCCGGTGCCTGGCTGAGCATCAGCGTCACGTCCCGACCGAGGTTTCAAGGCCGTGGTGGTCCGGGGAATCACGTCCCAAGGGCTTGATGCTCTCGTTTTGGAGGCTTGGAGGACTCCTTTCCCCCGGGGGCCGTATGCAGCATCTCCCGACGCAGCCCCCGTCCTCAGACGTGTCTTTGCTTGTGCTGTGGGGAGGGGAGGAGGGTACTGGAAACCAGCTGGGGGGAGAGCCAGCCGCGTCGTGGGCTTCGTCCTGGCACCGCCGAAGTGGAGGGGTGTCCTGCTGCCCGCCTCCGTTGGGAGCAAGATTGGGCCTTCTGCGATAATTCCTGGTGTTCATTATTTCTAGAGAAGCCAAATTGAATTATTAATATGAAAATTCAGATAACGTTAACAATTCTCAGTTTATAACAGTTTCCCATTAATAAGGAAAATTGGAAATTTATCACTACATCTGTTCGTTAAAACTCACTTTTTTTTTTTTTGGTGTCTTAAATGAAAGCAGTGAAATAAACGAAGAGGGAAAGCCATTTATTTGCTACTTCTCTGGGCAAAGTCAGCCCATAATTTTTAATAAAGTCTTCGCCGTTATACGTGGAGGGGAAACCAGCTTATAATGAAAGCAGCTTTTCAGCCATGTCTGTGGCGTTGCTCGACCGTAGAACAAATACTCGGAAACACGTCCCGTTTCTTCTCTTTGTGGGAACCTTTAAGCTGCATGATGGTTTTCTAATTTCCTTCCCTCCCCAGCAGCTCTCCTTGCTTTCAGCATGTGTTGCTCCCGGCTCCGAGGAGTGAATTTTAACGCCTCCCCTGCTTCTTTCAGAGATGGCGGATTCCTATGCCTGTAAAGGTGGAAGGAAAACTGCAGGCTCTAACAAACCCGCTGCCAGCAAAGAAAGCAGGACGGAGACGAGGATAAACCCGCCGGCAGAGCTGCCCAAGCTCGGTAAGGAACTGGGTTTATTCTTTCCGTGGAGGTGGATGGGGCGGAGGGGACGAGCTCAGGGGTTGGGGGGACGGCTGCCAAAACGAGGGGGTGCGAGTGCATCGGGTCTCAGCGTGCCTCTGCTCCTCGCTTCGACCTACCGGCGAGGGCTGTGCTGGGCCAAAAAAGCCCCAGAACCTTGGGGCTGCGGAGAGCCGGTCCCTGGGAACAGAAGGGGAGGGATGGAGACGGCCTCTCCCTTTCGAGAGGCGTGCGTCTGGCTTAACGAGGCGGGTGTCTCGCCGCCTATTTATCGTGTTGGTAGCTAAGTGTTACATCAAAGGATGGAAAGGCTTAAACGAGTTCAGACCATCTGCTGTCTCCTGTGTCACGGCCTCCGGGATGGAGGCTTGCGAGTGGACGAGCCCCGGGAGACCTGCTTCCTAGGGGCTGTCGCTCTGACGGAGAGCTGATTTCTCTATCCAGGAATCTCCAGGCCCAAGGAGATTTTTCTCCTGTCTGCTTATGCTGGGCAGATCCCCTCTGCGGGTGCGGAGAGGCGCTCGCTGCCTTTATCTTGCTGACGGCAGCCCTGGATGCCGCGGGGCACCTGCACCCAGGACGAGGGCCGGACCCCAGAGATGTATCTCAGACCAGGCACCCAAAATCGGTGGCCTCACAGGGAAACGCCTGCGCCCTAAATGTTTCCCTTGAGGGGGTTGAAGCTGTAATTGCTAACAGAGGGGTATAACTTATTGCTAAGGGGAATGAACTCCAGCTGTCCGCAGTATGAACATACCTGCATTCGGGAGAGCGTTTTTCCCTGCGCCACATCTTATCAGCACCTTTAAAAGTAGAAAAGCCCCTTTTTTTAGCCCTTCCTTCTGGTTTAGATGGACTGAAAGCGATGAGGCGGAGTGAAGGATACTCCGTGGTGAAGAAAGATACCGCATTGCTCTCCCTGGGAGAGTGCTGGAGGTGGAAACGTCTGCCAGGGTTCACTTTGTTGGGGCGAATTAGGCTTGATGCGGACTGGGGAGACAGGGGCCTTTCCTGCAGTCGCTTTGCTGGCCCCCTCAGATGCAGCAGCCTGGTTGGCGCAGGGAGCATCCTTTCCAAGCCAGGTCTTGGTCCGGAGAAGCCTCGAGTCCATCGGCAGGCCGTCCCCGGTCCCCGTTTCTAAAGAGCACGACGTTTCCACCCGGCTGAGTCAGCCCAAAACTGTGGTAACCTGCTGCAGGGGCACGCAGCCACAGTGCCGGCCGTAACACCGAGCGCCGTCGGGTTCGTGTCTCCTGCAAGTGCCTGTGAAGCCCAGGGTTAGCGGGTGGTAGCCAGGAGTGGGATGTTGGAAGAGGAGATGTGATTTCTGCTCCTCGTGTCCCTGTCATCGCTGTCCCCAGCCGGCAGCTGGTCAGCGAGGGCATTGAGGGACGGCTGGACTGGGCGCTCTTGTGTGCTGGTTTGGCACGAAACGTCCCCGAAAGTTTTGAAACTTGTGCAAGTTGTGAAAAGGAGAGGAGAGCTGTCGCTGAGCATCTGCACGAGCCGCAGCCCCGGACGTGCTGGGCTCCCAGGGCGAGCTGTCCGGAGGGACAGGGACGTGCTGCCGTGGGATATTTCAAATTTGGAATATTTTGAAGAGTTTATGAGAGAAAACAGAAAACAGGGAGAAAAATAAGCGGTGTTGTGAGCTTTTGCTTCAAACCCTGTATAATTGGGTGGTTTTTCATAAACTCCCAGCTCTTGGAGTCCTATGATGTGCAAGAAACATAGCTCTGTTTCACGTGCAGGGTGAGGTCCTCGCTTACACAAGTGTGGAGGAAAAGCCTGAGCACGTGGTCTAAGAGCAGTGGAGAAAATACAAAACGCAGAGGGCAGCTGCGATGCACAAACGTCCTTCATGGGCGCTACGAGAGTTTTGAACGAACCCTGCACAGTTGCTCCAGAACTAGCACGGTTTGAGGCCAAGCTTGCAAAATCCTCCCCTCTCCTTAGGTCCACGAGCCGTTTTGGGGCAGGAGCCAGGCAGGTAGGTGTCCAAACCGAACGGGGTGTTTTGAGGACAGCTTAGAGGCTGCCTTGCAGGGGGGGCAGGTAAGTGGCTTTTTAGGGACGTTCTCTTATAGTCCATAAAGGTCACCACCTCCTGCAGACGAGGCCTTCTGGGCTAGAGGGATTTCCAAAGGACGCTACATCACCAAGGGACGCTTTTACGGGCATCAAAGTGGAGCAAACCAGCTGGCGTGACTTCAGGGGACTGGAAATAAATGAGCCAACTGTCTTGTTCGCTATTTTACCCCTGGCTGCTGGGGCAGAAGGCATGAAAAGGGAGAGAGTGTGTGGTTTTGGCAGTGCCTTTGTAGGTAACTGGTTGGCTTTCTGTTTGATTTCCGTCCCTTGTTCCAAAAAAATCCTGGATTGGCTTCTGAGTACAGCCAGTGCCAGGCTTGGAGCTGAGCTCCGGTTTCTCAGGAGCTGGAGGGATTGCCAGCTCGGCTTCCAGCCTCTTCTTCTTACCTGATTTTCACCAGAGAAGAGCGTTTTACAGGTTGAGTTTAGTTTTTTTAATCTCAGTTATCCTCTCCTAGCTGTTTTGGGGTTTCCTTCTCAGGGATGCTTTTTGGCTTGTTTCTGTTCTTGTAGCAGAAGGCTTTTATTCCCAGTCCTGCTCATTAAGCCCTCCCAGATCTCAGGCTCAGCTTTCTGTACATGGCATTTCCCGTTGGCCGCTCACATCTGTCCAGTTTGTCTTTGGGTTACACCGACTCCCAGCATCACTTAAAATTACGGGTTAGCCCTCAAAATGCAGCTTAAGGCCTGCCGGGAGCGCAGAGCCATGGGGGGACGGCGCTGGGCGAAGGGAGCGGGGTCTTGCCAAGGCTCCCCAGACCCACGGGGTGACCAGGGTGCTCTGTTCCTGCTTGGAGAGATGGGAGGTTGGATGTGAAAGTGGATTGATTTGGTGAACTGCCCTCAGCCCCTGCATACAAACCCTGGTGAAAGTTGTCGTGGTGTTTGTACCGCTTTGCTCGATCCATTTTGGGTGTGAAGTAGGTGAAATCGGGGGGTTTGCTGCCGTTGTGAGCCGAAGTGTCTGGTCTGGGGCTTGGCAGTTTAACGTGCTTGTATTTGGCTGTCACACGACATCGGAGACTTCGTAGTCTCCCCTGATTGCAGTGTCTGGTTGAACCGGGCACGTTTCTGCCCCGCTGGCGTTCAGCTCGCGCTCAGGATGCCACAAGAGCCTGCTCTGAGCACACGCAGAGCCGTGGCCCCTCACGAAGATGTCCCCATGGCTTTTCCTCCCCACCCGAGTCCCCCAAGCACTGCCTCGCCCTGTCCTCGCCCCCCCCCCAGCCATCCCCATCCCTGCTGCTCCCCATGTGCTCGTCACATCCCCTGGCCCAGTGTCCTCCTGCAGCCCTGGGGCTGCCCACCCGCGCGG